AAGATGAATCCCTCCTGCCACGTACCCAGGCAGGAGTTGGGCGGTTGTTGAGAGAGGGTGTCTGCCAGAGGAAGGAGGAGGGAGCCGGGCGGGGTTGGGGGATTTGCTGGAGGAGGCACGATTTCTCAGGCAGGCTGCAGTCACCTTGGGCAAGGTGGTCTCTGAAGTTGGAAATGTAATCATGATTGGGCCCCACATAGGCAAAGTCCAGACTCAGGACCAGAGAGGCCAGGAGAAGACCAGGGGCTTTCCTAGAGTGTCAAGGCCTCACGGAGTATACCCAGAAAAGAAATTACTTAGCTTCATCTACAGGACCTGTGCCTGAAAGAAATCAGTTTCCGTTCTTTAAAAAGAGATTTTTTTTAAAATCTCAATCACGGCGGGGCAATTTGGGAGGCTGAGGCAGCTGGGTCACCTGAGGTCAAGAGTTCGAGACCAGCCTGGCCAAGATGGTGAAACCCTATCCCTACTAAAAATACAAAAAAATAGCCCGGCATGGCGGTGGGTGTCTGTAATTCCAGCTACTCCAGAGGCTGAGGCAGAGAATTGCCGAGATTGCACCACTGTACTCCAACCTAGGCGACAGAGCGAGACCCCATCTAAAAAACAAAAAAGAAAACACCTCTATCACATTGCACAAAGTACTTCACTGTGCCGGAAGGTGGAAGGCCTGGGGATCAGGCTGTGTAGACATGCATCCCAGCATTTCCAGTCACCAGCTGATCACCTTGAACTGGACATCTCCCCTCCCGAAGCCTCAGTTTATTCATCTGTTAACACCTCACAGTAATTCCTTTCACGGAGTACTTCAACAGATTTGGGGAAAAGGGGACAGGTCAAATTAGATAATTGTACATTAAAAAGTCCTCTATAGCCTGCAGCCTCTCTGCAAGTAGCACAGTATCACTTATCAATCTGCCTTGTAAAGATTGCTGTGAGAATTTGACTCCCAGCTAAACTAAGGGAGTCACCAGGGCAGCCTGCTATCACGTCTGATTTCTCTGTGTTATTCTCAGAGGCAAGCGTGTTATCTAATTCTGCTTATCTATTAAGGCCCCCAAATGTTGGTTGAATAAGTAAGTCATTGGTACATAAAGGTGAATGTCACAAAGCGACCCAATGTTTTGTATGAGTTAGAGCTAGGAAAGACCTTTTCCCGATGTCAACTGTTACTAAAATAGTCTCCTCTGCTTCTAACCTTCTGTCCAATTACAAATCACATCACATAACATTTTGGCTCTTTGAGAGAAAAAACCATGCCTTAATCATTCTGTTTAACATAAGCTCCTGGTGGGCAAGGACTTGGATTTGCTCAGAGCCAGCACCTGGAACAGAGCCTTGCGCTTGGTAAGAATCCATGAGGATTTAGTAAACAAATGAATGATTTCTAATGCGTAACACATAGCTACACATTCAGCAAATGTTTGTTGGACTAAGTATTAAACAAGGGAGATACTTTTTCTTCTTAATGTCTCTTCCTAACATTCCCGACTGAGACAGTGTAGCAGAATGGGTAGATAGGCGGGCTCTGAAATCAGATGGTCTGGGTTTGATTTCTGCTTATTCTATTCTGCTTACTAGCTGAGTGACCCAGGGTAGCTTCTGAACCTCTCTGTGCTTCATATTTCTCACTTGTGAAATAAGGATAACAGTTTTTCTCCTTTTTTTTTTTTTTCTGTTGCCCAAACTGGAGTGCAATGGTACAATCATAGCTCACTGCAGCCTCAAACTCCTGGGCTCAAGCGATCCTCCTACCTTGGCCCTCCTAAGAACTGAGATTATAGATATGAGCCACTCAGCTCAGGTAACAGTTTTTCTAATAAGATTACAGGGTTCATTTAAAGTGCACATAAAAGGCTGGGCACAGTGGCTCATGCCTGTAATCCCAGCACTTTGGGAGACCAAGGCGGGTGGAACATGAGGTCAGGAGTTCGAGACCAGCCTGACTGACATGACGAAACCCCGTCTCTACTAAATATACAAAAATTAGCCAGGCGTAGTGGTGCGCGCCTGTAATCCCAGCTATGAATCGCTTGAACCTGGGAGGCAGAGGTTGCAGTGAGCCGAGATCGCACCAGGCACTCAGGCCTGGATGACAGAGTGAAACTCCGTCTCAAAAAAAGAAATAAAACCAAGTATACATAAAATAGCTCATAGTAATCGCTATGTTTTTTTATGATCCTATCAGTCTCAACAACCTTCATTGGCTCCCCTTTAACCACTGGACAGACCTAAAGTCAAATTACTCACAATTTGGCCCCAGTATCCTCACTTCCAGTTCCATCTTCCCATATTTTAACACTAGCTACCCTTTCCTGGCTGCTACCTGTACCAGACATTCTGCTAAGTGGTCTATATCCATTAACCTGTTTCCCTTCTCAAACAACCTAGTGAGGTTGGACTTCTTTTTTTGTGTGTGAGATGGAGTCTTGCACTGTTGCCCAGGCTGGAGTGCAGTGGCACTATCTGAGCTCACCGCAATCTCCGCCTCCTGGGTTCAAGCAATTCTCCTGCCTCAGCCTCCCGTGTAGCTGGGACTACAGGCATGCACAACCACACCCAGCTAATTTTTTTGTATTTTTAGTAGAGACAGGGTTTTACCATGTTGGCCAGGCTGGTCTTGAACTTCTGACCTCAGGTGATCTGCCCACCTTGGCCTCCCAAAGTGCTGGGGTTACAGGCATGAGCCACTGCACCTGGCCTAAATTCATCTTCATTCTCTACATAGCAACCGAATATATCTCTCCACCTTGAATTCCTCTCCTCCTTTTAGGCTCCACTCAAAATCCCTTCTTGCTGGGCAAAGTCCTTCTTACCCATCTCCCACTGGTTGAGTTGCTTCTTCCTTCATATTCCCATAAGCCGGCGCCGGCGGTACCATAACTGTTATCCTCATTTCACAAGGGTGTACATACCTTTCTCTTGGCTCCAATTTTTTCTTTAAAAAATATACCCTGGGGCCGAGTGCTGTGGCTCACTCCTGTAATCCCAGCACTTTGGGAAGGCCAAGGTGGGCGAATCATGAGGTCAGGAATTCAAGACCAGCCTGTGCAACATGGTGAAACCCCACCTCTACTAAAAATACAAAAAATTAGCTAGGCATAGTGGTGGGCGCCTGTAATCCCAGCTACTCGGGAGGCTGAGGCAGGAGAATCCTTTGAACCCAGGAGGCAGAGGTTTCAGTGAGCCGAGATCCGCCACTGCACTCCAGCCCAGACTACAGAGTGAGAGTCTGTCTCAAAAAAAAAAAAAAAAAGGAAAAGAAAAAGAAAAGAAATGTACATTGGGGACATACTGCGTACCCAGCACACAGTAGGCATTGCATAAATGTTGGTTGAGCCCACTTGCTTCCAAAGCATTTGACTGTGTTTATTAAAACACTCTCATCACTCCTATCCTCCGTGTTTTACTGTCTATCCCTTCCCTGCCCTGAGCTCCTGTGTGTCTCCAAACTATTGAGTCTGGCATCTTGTAGGGCCTCAAGTCATTAGACAAGAAACTAGATGCTTTCCCATCTAAGGACATAATCTGTCTATATGTACTTATGAGTGGAACATTACCAGAAGTGAAGCTTTCCAGTTCCCAAGAGAGGTAAAGGACAAGTGAGGTGATGGACACCTTGCTGCTCACCACCCCCAATCTTTGGGCTGACACAGGATGCCGGAACTGATTACTGTCAAAAAAAAAAGTGCAGACATTAGAAAATCTGAGTCCCATGTTTCCAAACCATGAAAGAAAGGCCTAGAAATGGTAAGTGACCTTTTCAAATCCCCTGGGGTGAAAACCACGTCCCCAATAAGCTGTCTTTTCACAAGAAAAGGCGAAAGAGGAAAGTCGGCCGTGATGTCAGGGAAAGGCCCTCAAGACACAGAAAACCTAGCAGCCCCCATGCTCTGCCTCTTTCACAGGAGACCTGGGCAACGCACACGTTTCTAGGCCTCAATTTCCTCATCTGTAAAGTGAGGGGGTTGGAGGAGCTGGAAAAGCTCCTTCCAGCTCTGAGATGCTATGCTGTAAAATGAGAGAAATGTGAATGAACCTTTGGTTGTTATGATCTGAAAATATTTTGAATGCGAAGAATCAAACTGTACAGCAGTGCATGAACAACATAATATGTTAATGACTAAGACGATTGTGTTTAATCCGATGAGAAACAGCAGAGCTGCTACCTCGGCTGCTGGGTCTGCTGCTGTGTGTGTGTGCGTTTGTGTGGTGTGTGTGCACGCACGTGCGGCTTCCTTTCTTGAGCTCAAACATATATTTTGAATCACTAATATAGTAATCACGTCTCTGGCAGCCTATCTTGCCCAAACACACACATACTACACACCCTCTTTCAAATTAAAGTGAGAGCGGGGGGAATTCCACTACGGCTCTTTACATCATTTCTGTTTGGACGGCTATTTTTTTTTTTTTTTTTTAAGAAATTTTTATAGTGAAGGTGTTGGACTGCCAGCCCCGGAGGCCTCTGATCTCAGAACGGGGACGCAAGGGTGGGGAGCTCAAGCTCTCATTAGCATTTCGCTTTCGATCATCCACTGCCCCCTCCTCAGCCGTCACAATCCCGTCCTGCAGCAGGGACCCCCCACACCCGACCCTCGACGCGGGAGAGGGGTCAGCTCGGCGGCCCCGGAGGCGACCCGGCCAGAGTACATGCTCCGGGTTCCACGTGCGCGGAAAATGAAAGCGCACCCGCGACGCGGCCGGCGGGGGCGGGCGGCAGCGAGGGCCGGGCAGCCAACGTTCACCCCGCGGAGGAGTCGAGGCGGAGTCCGCACGTGGGTCTGCGACGGCTCCGCCTCCAGGGGGCGTCCTCCCGGGAACTCGAGGCCCGGGCTGGTGACCCCTGCAGGCCGGGGCCCGACCGCGTCCCCGAAGCCGCCCCGAGGTCCCGGCGAGCCCGGCGGAGGCGGCGGCCCCTCCCCGCCCGACGGCTGCTCCCGCGCGGATTGGCCGCTCCCCGACGGCGGGCGGGGCGGGGCGAGGCGGGCCGGGGCCCGAGCTCGCGGCCAGGTGAGGCGCCCCGCCCCTCGGCGTCTCCAGGTGCGGCGGTGGGACCTTCGACCGCGGCGGGGCCAGGGCCGGGGCGGAGGCGCCATGGCCGAGTCCCAGCTGAGCTGCCTGGACGAGGCGCACGTGAACGAGAAGGTGACCGAGGCGCAGGCCGCCTTCTACTACTGCGAGCGGCGGCGGGCCGCGCTGGAGGCGCTGCTGGGCGGCGGCGAGCAGGCCTACCGCGAGCGGGTCAAGAAGGAGCAGCTGCGGGACTTCCTCTCCAGCCCGGAGCGCCGGGCCCTGTGCGCCGCCTGGAGCCCGTACGAGGACGCCGCCGACGCCGCCCCCGCCACCAGCGCCCGGGGCAAGAGCAAGGCCAAGGCCAAGGCCAAGGCCCCCGCGCCGGAGCCGGCCGAGCCCGGCGAGTCCCTGGCCTACTGGCCCGATCGGTCTGACACCGAGGTGCCCCCGCTGGACCTGGGCTGGACGGACACTGGTTTCTACCGCGGCGTGAGCCGGGTCACCCTCTTCACCCACCCCCCCAAGGACGAGAAGGCGCCGCACCTCAAGCAGGTGGTCAGGCAGATGATCCAACAGGCCCAGAAGGTAGGTCCCCCTCGTCGTCCCCACATCACTGGGACCCCAGCCCCAGTCCCCTGGACCAGGCCCCACCTCCCAGGCAGGGCCGGGGCAGGCCGCCCTGAGCGCCCTCTAGAAAATGGGCCCCAAACCGCCTCTACCTCGTAGGGCTGTAGTGAGGCCTCTAGAGCGAATGGCTGGGAACGTGTCTGGCAAATTACAAGGTGCTAGACAGAGAGATGTTAGCCATCGGTATAACAGCATCGAGAGGCGCTAGCTCTGCTCTGTACTTCTGAAACTTCCCTATCCAGTCCCCGTCCTCAGGGAAGACTGGAGACCGAGGCCCTGTGGTTAACATGCATCCCTCAAAGGTCTTGATATAACCTACGTGTAGCCCAGGGATTTATAGAACATATCCCAAGCCATTTTCTCATGTGATAGTCAAAGCAACTTCAGGGAGTGGGTGGCCGTGACCTTCCGGTCCCACCCATTTCCATGCTGCTCTTGGGAGCACCCCTCTCTCATAGTCAAAGCTGGCCTACCGCTCTCACAGTCATAGCTACTCCTGGGTGGGATACTAGGCTCCAGCTGCGTGGAATGAATGGGGAGGGGGGACACGTATTGAGCACTTACTGTGCGCCTGGCCCTGTGCTGGGCACCTTGGCACAGCAGGTCAACCCGGCTTGGCAGCTCAGGAAGGGTCTCCTGCTTAGCACATCTGCCCTGCTTAGGAGTTGGAAGGAGGGCTGTTTCCAGTGTGTGGAGCAGGGGGAAGACTTTAATCTTTATGCCTTCAGGTAGGAGTCCTGGGGCAGCTTCCAGATCAAATATTAGATGCCCACTACATTTAAACTTTCAATAAGCAACACTCAACTTTTTAGTATCAGTTTATCCCAAACGTGACATGAGACATATTGATACTAAAAAGTTCTTCGTTGTGTTTCTGAAATTCAAAGAGAATGGGAATGTTTTGTACTTTCACTTGCTAACTCTGGCTCCCCTACACTGAGACTTGTTAAGAAACAGCAGCAGCCTTTGGTGCCCAGTGCAGAATATACAACAGGAGTGGCTTGGGCTCATCGTTCTAATTCCACTCAATGAGTGAGGTTGGAGTCCTGGTTCCCCTCGAGGCTGAATAGGCCTGAGGAGGGAAAATGGAGCTTGAAAGACCATTATGGAAGATGTGTTCATCTTCCTGAAAGGGATGATCTAGGTAGTTGGCTAGGTTGGCTACCAGAAGGAAGGGTTAACGTCCCACAGTGCACACTCGTACCCTCCCTCTCTGTAATTCCTCCCTGTCTTGAGTTTCCTTTGTACATTGTGTTCTGCAGAAGAAAAAGGCAAGACTGGACACAGAAGAGGGAAAAAGGATGTAGGCGACTGGCCATACCGGCTGCAGCCGGGGTTAGGGGTCGCATCTCATGATGTCGTACTAACAAAGCCTCTATTTTTTAGCATTTAATATGTGCCATCCACTGTGCTAATGACTCACCTGCATTTTCTCATTAGCTTTTCACAGCAACTGGGTGAATAGGTATTTTCCTTGTTTTTGGAGGAAAAGACATCAGGATTCAGAAGTTTCCTGCCAGAGGTCCCATGGCTAGTAAGTGATTGAGCCAGGACCCACACACCAAAGCCCTTGCTCTTACCCACTGTGCTGCTCTGCCCCAGTGCCCAAAATAATGGTGCAGTCTGATTAAGCAAGGAGTTTGAATGAAGGTAGCGTGGTCACAGCCTGGAGTACAGGTGGTGTACCCCTGTTACAAGAAGGGGGTGACAGGACCCCTGGCCACCGAGGCTTCTAGTCCCATGTAGGATGACAGGACTGTCTCCTGCAGAGTGAGGTATTTTTAACTCTAAATGTTTAACAACAGAAACTTCTGACAATTGCGAACCCATCAAGTAAGTACAGGTTTAACCAGTAATTTCCTGAGGGCCGACTGTGTGCCAGGCACTAACTGGCCGTGAAGAAGACACACGGGGTGGCGTTTGCCCTCCAAGAGCTTAACAAATGCTCGGGCTCTGCTGGAAAGAAGAGTTTTTAAGGCTGGATGTGCCTAATCTGGGAAGGATTCCTGAGGGAGGTGAATTGCAGAATTGGAAAGGGAGAGAGTAAACTGGAATGGACACTCTCGGTAAGAGATTTTGGCTTCGAAAAAGCAAGGAGGTTTGATTGGCAGGAAAAAAGAGCTGTTGTGGGGGGAGGTGAGCACTGTGTGGCGCCTGGTGTGGGGACTCTAAAACTGGGCCCAAGGCAGGCAGTCACCCCGCAGGAAGCAACAGCGTTGGACACTGTCTGTGCCCACCCAAGTATCAGGACCTCTGGGCCCTCATCCTTGATCACTGTCCTGAATGTCTGCATTGTCCCTTCTTCCCAAAGACCCTGTGAAGTAGGAACAGAGAAGTTGACCGGGTTTCACAGCTGAGGAAACAGGCACAGAGAAGGAAAGAGGCTTGCCCAGAGGTTACGTGGCTGGTTCTAGAAGGACCCAACTTCTGCTCTAGGAGGCTGTACCTTCCGACTGCTGCCTGTCCCCCACCCCCATGCCAGCTTGTCCAGCTGGCTGGCAGCTTTTCCCCAGCTGGCAGCTGGCCATTAACTTAGATCCTTCCTCCTTCCCTTTCGCCCCGAGGGAGGGAGTTTTCTTTGTTTCCAGTGAGAGTCTGGCTGCTGTGAGACCAGGTAGGGCAGACTGAGATGGTTTACGTACAGGGACACCGGGAGCTGCGGAGGGGAGGCAGCAGGACACGCACACATCCAGCTGTGTGCCAGAGTTTGCGTTTTATTTCATTTAATCATCAGAATAATCCTGTGAGGTGCTGTCGTTTTGGTTCCCGAGTCACAGAGAGGATACTAAGGTTCAGAAGGAGTTGCCCGTGGCTGCCGTGTCTACAGTCAGTCACAGGCCAGCGGGGGATTCTGTACCTGGTCCTCAGAGATATGGAGAAAGGCGCCTAATTAGGGGACAGGATGCTTTGAAACATGATTGGGGCTGAGGGAGGAGGGGCTGAGAATGGGCAGCAGTGAGGAAACAGCTCGGCAGGGGCCCTGTGGACTGGGAGGGCCTTTGAGGAGGTCCGGCTGAGCTACCTATATCCTGGGCCTCTGCAAATGTCAGAAAGTCCTTCCCAGCTGCCATTCGGCTGTTTACTTGTTGGGTAGGGCTTTTTCCTGCTGTTTTTTTTTTCCCCCTTTGGAGTGATCTGCTTACCTGGGTGCCTCTGAATGATGTACTTTGTCTACTTAAGTTACAGGCAGAAAGGGCGCCTTTAGGGACCCAAAAATGATCTCCTGGCCTGTGCTGTGCTAGCAAGGAAGACGGGGAAGTTGCTGGTGCTTGGACCGTTCAGGTCATTGTAACTGCCTGGGAGTGGACTTACAGCAAAGCCGTGTGTAGACTGGGAAACTCTTGGTTCTTATTTGCAAAGCCAGAGTAAGGGGAGCAAAAAACTGCAGTCTGGATAGGCTGGCAACTTGGAAGGATTGTGCATTCGTGTGGCCATTGGACAAATACTGAGAGGTTTACTGCACATGCTAAGCATACTTTAATGGAAAACAGACATCTGAAACCCACCTTTGCTCTTAAATAGCCTAATCTTCTGCTGATCCATCATCTAATACAGTCTGAGGAGTGCTGGATGAAGGTCGTGGCTGGAGGGGCACTAGCCCAGCCCTTAAACCAGGTTAGGGAAGGCCTTTTGATGCCAAGGACCTGTGAGATGGCACCAAGCTACCCACCCATCTCGTGCCCAGGCTCCCTTGTGACCAGCAGCCTCCCATTTTGAGTCTGCTGGTGGAATTTAGAGAATGTTGCCTTGTGCTTTGGGAAGAGAGGCAAATTGATCACACATGCTTCTCAAAGATTGACCCTTGACCCCTGCATTCCTGGCTTGCACCCAAATGCACCAGTGACCCAGCTAACCAGCTCGTCTTGGTTTATTACAAACTGTCCAATCTCCTTGACACTTCAAAAGCTGCATAAGGCAGGGTCTGGTCTTCATTACACAGAGGCTCCTTCTAAGCTCCAAAAGGGTGAAATGACTCCCCTTCAGATCAAGGACAAGGAGGTTACACAGCATCCCCAGGGTCCTTGGTTGGGATTCCCAGTGACCCCATGCAGATTATAAACACAACCTAGGAGAGGGAAGGGCTGCTGGAGTAGGTAACCATGACCAGCTAGGAGCTGCTTTCTGTTTTCATTCCTGTCGCAGTTAGTGGAATAGGCCTGTCCGGATGATTTAGGAAAGAGTAACCAGCCAGGCTGGTCCCTAACCCACCTCTGCCTGTTGATGGGTTTGTCCCTTTTCCTTCAAGGCCTCACTAAGAGGCCACCTCTGCCTTGGCATTTTGTCAATTTGATTTTCAATCCAGAAGGTCCACACAGTTTGCTTTGGAAGAGGATGTTTTATCCTCCTGGATTGGGAACTTTGGAAGAGAAAGACTGGCTTATTCCCCTCAGTTTCCTGTCCAGTACCCCAACAGTGTCCCTACTATCACAGGTGATCAATTATCTGTTTATAGAATTGAAAACCGTCTTCTATTGGCTGCCCATCCCTCGGGGGAAGCAGGTGTCTGGAGCTGTCCCTGTTGAATTGCACATTCCCCTGGGAACTTCTTTAATCTGCATGGTAACAAGCTGGCTGGCAGCAGAGAGAAGAATGCTCTCAATTGTGGATATGGGGCACAGGGAGGCAGGTGCCTCAGGGGATTTGGAGAAAGGCTCCAGAGCCGGAGGCATGGCCGGCTGAAGTTAGCAGCCTTGGTTTGAGGTCTCGGCAGCTTATGGGAGGAGGGTATGGTAACAGCTGGTGTACAGATGCCCCCAGGCATGGCAAAGTCTTGGAGTCATCAGCTCAGCTCCCCACAAGACTCAGCTTTGCACATGGTGGGCCTGGCCCCTGAGTGGAGCCCACTGTCTTTCCCCATTAACCTCAAATAGCCCATCCCTCATTCAGCCACACTGGCAAATGGTACCAATCTTCATACCAGGCACTTTGCCAGACGTTGAGATACTGCGGTGAAGCAG